ACATCTGATCTGGTGACTTAGGAACATAGGCAACACAGATATTGTCAAAAAAAAAAATCAGTGGTTACAGAGGAAGAACGAGTTACATGATTTGACCTCTGGATAAACAGGCTCCTCTGAGAAAGATCAGTGCTTTGCTCCTTTTACAGCAACCCTTGCTTCAGATGCCAAGCTATGTGCTATCTGCTGGGTGGGATTTTCTGTTCCGCTGGTCTTATTTCTTTTCTTCTAGGGGCTATCCTCCAAGACAAACAGAGGGGAACTTCTGGGTCATGTAGAAACCTAAGCTTTTCTCTTGTGACATTTTAACAAAATTTGTCCTCTAAAGGAGAGATAAGAAATACAAACTGGCAAGGAGTTTTTATTATAAATTGTTATTACTATTACTATTTATTCAATAGTGACAAAATATAGAACGTTGGTCCTAGAGCAGTGGTTCTTAGACAGGGTTTCTCTGTGAGGCTTTGTAGTCTGATCTGGTACTTGCTCTGTAGCCCAGACTGGCCTCAAACTCACAGAGAGATCCACTTGTCTCTGCCCCCTGAGTGCTGGGATTAAAGGCACGTGCCATCGCCACCAAGCCTAGAGTGGTTGTTCTTAAGCTCTGGGCAACAGGAAGGTGTGGCAAAGTCCACTGAGCTATGGACTTCACTCAGCCTGACCTTTTAGAAATTCTGCTGCAGTTCAGTGAGAGCACTGTGTCTTTGCCAAGCGTGTGCAGCAGCTATGCTTTCCAGTGTATGAGAGAATTGGAGTCCCCTGCCCACAGGAGGCACACGCCCATGAATGCCACACTTTAGAAACCTTGAATGCCATACGCATACTTAGAAGTGACTGATAAGTTAGCTCTGTTATTTGTACAACATCCCTCCATTAGACTGCCTACATGTCACTCAAAAACCCAAGGAGAGATTGTACATTTTCAGGTCAGTTTAGAACCCACGGAAGACAGAAGTACTCTGAGAATCACTAAAAGAAAGGGTGGTTTTTAGCTGTGGTGAACGGGATGTCAGAAGACCGTTAGTGGTTATGATGATCTTTATGATGTGTAGGGAGCTCTGTTTTCTTCCTTATAAAGTGAAGGAATGTCTTTCCTATTGGCAGGTTGTAAGATAATGGGAGAATAAGTGCAGAGCATCTGTAAGCTACACTGCACCAATGTAATTCCTAGAATTTTATTAGGTCTAGACTGAGGGAGGAGGAATTTCACTTGAGGCAGAAGAGATGTAATTTCAGTAAGGACAGAGCTCAGACTCAGGGGGAATGCTGGGAGCGGTTGTAGAGGGAGAAGGAGTCTCATTTTTGGTGTTCTCTGACGTGAGGATGGTGACCACTTCCTAGTGTTACAGCTGAAGACTGGAATCCAGGTTTCTCTGTTCCTTGATCCAAGTCAGTTATGATCTCCATTCCACTCTCTAGCCTTCCCTCTCAAATCAAAGAGTGTAAGTCCTTACAGTAGCTTGTAAGCGACCCTTCCCCACCTCCACTACCGGCTTATTTTCCCTATCCGTGTCTCTGTCTCCTTACCACCCACCTGCCCACCCACCCACCCACCCACTCACATAGCTTATATATGCAAGTTATGTGTGTGTATGTGTGCACGTGTGTGTACGTGTGTGTGTATGTGTGTGTGAGTGTGTGTGTGTGTGTGTGTGTGTGTGTAAACCAGAGGCAGATATTGGATATCTTCCTTTATCATTTTCTGCTTTCTGAGCTAGGATCTTTCACGGAACCTGGAACTCATTGGCTAAGCAGAACTCTCTAGACTGTGAGTTCAGGGGTCTGTCTGTCTCTGCCTTCCCAGTACTAGGACAACAGGCATGCGCCGCTGTGCCGGGCTTTTTACATGGGTTCTGGAGATCTGAACTCAAGTTCTCATATCTGCATGGCAAATGCTTTACTGACTGTGTCCTCTCTCCAGTCTTTCTTTCAAATTTGTTCCCTGGCTCTCTCACCCAGTCCTCACCTCCTGACAGTTCCTCACACACTCCAGAGAGCACTATGCCCCCTTTGCCTGGAAGTTTTATTCCTCCAGGGAGCTGCAGGGCGCGTTCTGACACACCAAATGCCATCTTTCCAACAAGACTCCTTCATTTAAAATCACGCACTGGTCCTTTCTACTCAGGAGTTTATTTTACTTCTTGGATCTTGGCTTGTTGTCACCGAGCACGCTTCCATTTCAGTTTCCTTTCCTTTAGACCACAACTGAGGTGTCCTTGATGGACCGAGTCACTCAAGTAACAAAATACATTCAGTGTCTTAAATGTCCTTGTGGATGGTAAATCTTATCCTGTTTATCTCCATGGAGAGATATTGTAAACCAACAGACACTTTTAGATGGACAGGACTATAAATAAAAGGCTTTTGAGCTGGGTTGGAAAGGCCCCACATTTTAAGCAGGGATTGGGAGAAAGCTATGCCCGTCCGTGGTGGGAAACGGCTCTAGGGAGAGAGCTGCACACTTAAAGACTCTGTTCTGAAAGATGCTCATGAGAAAGGAATGGGGGAGGGGGCACTGTTGAAGAGCCGGTGACTGGGAAGAATAAGAAAGTTAACCCAGAGTCTCCTGGCAGAAGAAGATACTCTGACCGCTGTCTGGGAATTTTTAGGTTAGGTACTCTTGGGCTCTAAAGCCTCAATGTGAGTATGGAGGAGCCTGTCCTAGGCCTCCTGGAAGGGATGACTCCCTAGGTGTCTGGCTTGGATATGGGGTAGGAGCCCTTCCTTGGTGAGGGAGGTTCTGGAAAGGAAATACCACAAAGTCCTGCAGGAATGGCTCTTCTGAGTGGAAAACCCTCCACGTGTGGAGCTACAACCTGACAGAACACAGGGACCTTAAAAAGCACAGGTGCAGGTAATTCAAATTAGAGTTGGGCTAAGCCGTATGATCTCAGGTAACCCCCCTTCCAGCAAGATTTATTTTCCTTGTTTGCAAAAGACAAAATGGTAACTAATCCCAGAAGGTCACGATGAATACCTGAGCTGATGCAAGGTAGGCACTCAAAAGCCATGTTTGATGTAAGGATGGTGTATGATAGCAGACAGCCCTGAAAGGCATCGTACAGCTCTTTTCATTCAGGGAGAGGTCTCTGAGGACTATGGTCTCCCCGGGTTTATTCTCCATGTAAACTCTATCCACTGGCCTAGAATACCTGGTGGGACCTGCTGCTGTAGGATAGGATCAGCCAGTCTGGGGCTTCCTGGAAACCTTGCAAGTAGGAGCTTGAAAGAGGCTTTCAAAGAAAGGATCAAAAGAAAGTTGGCTTCTGAGAAGACAAAGGCCCTGTTTGCAGCTGTCCCTCATTAATCCAGCACTGGGTGGCTAAAAGGAAGACACCATTCAAAACTATTCTGGATCCTACATGCACCTCATCTTTTCTAGCTCACAGAATAATAGGGTGCACTGGCTGGGTGTCTGGCAAACTTCAATGAATCACATCTCTCTTTTTGTGGAGGGGGAAGAGGGTCATTCATATCCACCTGTCACGGTTTGCCGAATCATTTTTCCTTAAGTTCACTCATGTTTGAAGTTAGAATATAATTAAAAGGAAACTTTGAGCCTTATGGATTTGAGAAATGATTTCTGCTATTCTACACCTGGGTGACACCAGCCCAGTGGATCAGAGAAAGTTAACTCATTAAAGAGCCCTGTGAACAGGGGAGATTAGGGAAATCAGCCACCACCTCACTGGGTGGGGACATGCTGCTGTTTTAGTGAGAAGTTTCAAAGTCAAAGAAATGGAAAGCCAATAAATAGCCTGAGTTGCTCGACTTTACAAACTTTTCCTATGACAAAAGCAAAAGTGGTGAATATGAGCCTCAGGTCTGTCTCTTCTGGCTCTGAGCCTCTACAGCAGGTGACCTTGAGGGGTCTGAAGATGCCCCCCAGTCTTGGGTTTCCCTTCCTGTCTCCAGATCCTTTGCTTCCTCCACTGCCCACACAGTACCCTCCTGCTCCTACAGTTCTCTGAGTGAGTGGAGCCTGCCCCGCCTCAGTCCCCATCTGGCCTTCCTAGAGCCCCTTCTTGACCTAGGAAAACAAACTGAGCTTCAAAATAGCAGGGCAGAGAGCACTTGTTTCTTTCCTAGAAGCCAGGCTGATGGCCTGTGGCTGCTGGTGCTTGTCACTAGGCTAAGATTAGCTTGTCGCTATACTTTAATGGAGTTTGTTGACTGGTAGACCCCTGACTTAGGTAGAAACCATTGTCCTTTTTAATAACAAGAAATTGTTGAATTTAGATGTCAACTTAAATGATACTAAAAGACACTTTTTGTGTAGAGCGCATTCTTTCAACACTTTTAGCGCGGCTGCTTTAGAACAGCTAGGAACATGGGTTCTGAAGGCACATAGGGAGTTTCCACAGACTTTTAAGTGTCTCTTGGCTGGAAGTCCCACACACTCACTTAATTCCCATTCTTGGGTCTGGTCTCACTGGGAGCCACACTGCTTCCTCCTTATTTCTCTCTAGTAGCGGCTTCCATCTGCAGTTTGAACAAGCAGACCTGAGTGTCTACACACCTTCCTTCCACAGAGGACTGTGCTCACATATTTGTAGTGAATGGCCACTTATTCTGGCTTCACGCTCTGCATCCAGGACTCTGATTCATCCTATGCTCTCCCAGGAGCAGACATTTGACCTATGGAAGGTCAGCATTATTTAAATCTGGAGCCACTGCTACAGGACCACCTGGGCTCAGATTCATCCCGACCCTGCTGAAGCTGTCCCACTTTGGTTTCTACAGTTTGACTTGATTCCACGGAGAAGGCATAATTCTCTCAGGTTCTTCTGAGCGCATAGTTAATTTTAAATCCCCCAATTCTATTTTTTATAGGTACCCCAGCTCCTATGGAGAAGCTAACCATAGCTCATCTCTTCTAGACATCTTCCTGGACAGTACTGGACCGCCAGGCTTATCCATATTATTCCTTTCACATTTCCTCATACTTCCACCAGGTAGAAGATCCCTTAGCCCCAAATACAGACAAATAAACAACTTACTTGGTTCCACAATCACTTGGGTTCCTTGTCCAAAGACGAGCTTGTCTGTCGCACAGCCACTGAGGCCATTCCAAAAACCTCCATGGCTCTTCCCCAACTTCTTTCTGTTGACTTCATGGCTGGAGGGCTTTCATGCTTCTGTACTTTAAACATGGCACTAGCCTCTCATCCAGATGGCTCATCATGACTTCACAGATGTGTATGAGGACAGGTTTGCCTATAGGAGCTTGTTGCTTGAGAACCAAGTGGGAACAACATATTCCGCAGTGAACGTTTCTGGCACAGAACACATGACATTCTCTTCGCTGAGCTTTCTGCTGCTTAAAACCGTTCTGTTTCTTAGACCCACAAATAAACTGCTTGTCTCAAATATCCAGCACTTGGTCTTGGATCTGGGACAGCTCCAGAGTGGAGACTTCTATACTTGTCGTGTGGCTTTAAGGTCAGAGAACACATCGCACAGCAAAGGAGAGGGAGAAGGGGCATGAAGTGCCAGTTAGTTCCTCCACATAAAACTTCGGAGTTCCTAAGTGCGGCTGGCGAACTGGCCTACCAACGAATCAACCTCCCTCAAGCCCACCTTCCCAAACTGCAAAAAAAAAAAAAAAAAAAAAAAAAAAAAAAAAAAAAAAAAAAAAAAAACTTGGGAAAATTTCTCTAGGGACCCAACTCCCCAAATTCCCCAGGGAAGAGCTCATTTAGCTCTTTGAGTGTTGCAGAACCAACAGGAAAGCAAGACAAGGGTACGCGTTTAACAAAGCCCCTTCGTGTTCCTCATTTGCCATGTAAGGAAATGATGAGATAACATTTTTACCCAGCAAACAGGCAGAGGCCAGCATAGGGGTCATCTCGTGTCTAGTCTACTTCCTGACATTTTCCCAGGCTTCCAAACAAGGAGGACAGGCTGCCCCACTGGGTTTATCCTCCATGACACCTGACAGGCAGAGCACTTCCCAGGGAGATGATTCTGCCCCCTTGTAGTTTTTGTACAGGTCCCCAGTGGGGTTTGTAACACTGTGCTCGTATCCCTCCAATCACGGTGTTTCAGAGCTTTACAGAAACCTTCCCTGGCTCTGCATCATGTGTGTCTGAGAAGCCCCAGCCAGATGTCTTCTACAAGTCAAACCACAGCGAGATCAAAGGATTCGGCAGTTAGTTCAGGCCAGACTTGCCTGGGCACTACTGTCCAATGCTCACTGCCCTGCTGGCTGGAGACCCTGGGGGTTAGAGTGGACTGTTAGAACTTGTCAAGTTCACTCCTATCCATACTTTTTGTCCAGTCTTCTCTGAGATGGTTTCCCAGGGAGGAGTGTATTAGCTGTCTGAAAGTCTCCCGTGTGTTCTACGTGCTGTGGGTTAGGCAGAGAATGTTTGTGGCCAATATAATTTTTCCTCCCTCCCGCTAAGCCTCAGAACCACCTTTGTCTGCCTACTTTTCACTTGAATAGTGTTATACGGTCCGCAAAAAGGCTTTCAAGTAAATTAAAAATTTTATCCTCCCCATTGACCTCCTGGTTGCTTACTTAATTTGGAGCCAGTAGCCCATATGGCGCTTTGTGTGAGTCAGAAATGACAACCTGCTGGGCTCGCAGAGGAGGCACCATAGGTTCCAGCTTGGTAAAGAGAACTCTCTTTTGTGGGCTTTATAAAAGGTATTCAGTTCTCCAGCTGGTGCTGTCCAGTCCTAGGGCCACATACAGTCTAGTTAGGTCTTCTGGCCCAGTGCCCTTGGTCAGGGCACAACCAGAGCAAGCAGAGACAGTAACTCTGCCTGAATACAATAGATACATCTTAGGTATACAGATATTTGACTTCTGCTTTGGGCTGAGTTACGCCCTTTGGGTCTTTCCTAGAGGCCTCCAATGCTAATCTTGTTTGTTTTTGATCATTGTGAGGATGGCTGTTGGGACATGGCAACAAAGAGGTTCTTTTTTTTCTTTGTTAAATTTTTTTGTCTGACAGACCTGTCTAGTGGTGAGAGTAGAGGGCTGAAGTCTCCCACTATTAGTGTGTGGGGTTTAATATGTGAGTTAAGCTGTTAAGCTTTGAAGTGTTTCTTTACATATGAAGGTGCCCTTGTATTCAGCGCATAGATATTTAATATTGAGATTTCCTCTTGATGGATTTTTCCTGTGACTAATATGAAATGTCTTTCTTTGTCTCTTTTGATTGATTTTAGTTGGAAGTCTATTTTGTTAAATATTAGGATATCTACACCAGCTTGTCTTAGGTCCATTTGACTGGAAATTTTTTTCTTTCTTGCTGGTTCTAGATCCGTACCCTGGACCCACAGAGGTCTCTGGTTCCGGCTTATTCCCTCAGAGGTCCCAGACTTGTGTCCGGACCTGCAGAGCTCCTGGTTCAGGCCTCACAAGAGGTTCTTTTTAAGTGACTCTGTTAAATGTTGAGTAATGTGCATGTATGAGTGTTGTGTTTATCAAAAAAGAGTAGGATTGAAAAAAATATTGATATTCACTCCCTGGAGGTCTTAGAGAAGTTCATGACTTAATTTAGATTTGCTATTCTACTTGTGGTCTTTTAATGACTCCTGTCCACCTAGATGCAACGACCACATGCAGAGGTCCAGAGGACCTCTGTAACTCAGATCACTGACTGTAGCTCCTGCTGAGGGTTAGTCTTCCAGAGGTGGTTGGTCACTGTGCTGAAGAACTAATCAAACTGGTTAATATGGCATGCACAGACTCTTCCTAGTATTGGTGTCAACTTTACCAAGAAGCAGCATGAGAAACTGCTCTGAGTGAGACTCTTGCGGGAAAGGAAAAGTTGGTACCCCCAATGAGGATACAGCTGTTAGAGTTCCCAGATCTTCATTCCCTTCCTCCACAGATGTATGCATCCAGATTTCATCCCGCATGATCCGCTATAAGTGTGATGTACCCCTACTCTCTTGACATCGGTGTTTTGGACGCAAATGACAGTGTTTCAGTTCCAAGCAGGGACTCCTCATTGTGGACTTCTGCCAGTGTTCTTGAGCTTCTATGCTGTAGAAATTTGTTGCTGCTTCTGCCTGGCTCCTTTTATATCATGCAGAATCGACTTGAATACAATTCATGTCCTGAAGCCACGTTCAGCTGGCCTGCTGCAAAAGCAAGACATTAAACCACTGAAAACTTAGAGATATTTATTACAGAACATAGTCACAACAGAAATAGCTGAGTGCTACAGATTGAGAGTAAAGAACTTCTACCCACAAGCCAAGCTCCTACACTGAACTCAGAGTCTCAGGAAACTAACCATTTGGATACTGCAGAAGAAAAGCAACTGAGATGCCCTTCAATTGAAGAATGGATGAAGAAAGTATGGAATATATACATATTAGAGTACTACTCAGCAGTAAAAAACAAGGACTTCTTGAAGTTTGCAGGCAAATGGATGGAAATAGAAAACACCATCCTGAGTGAGGTAAGCCAGACCCAAAAAGAGGAACATGGGATGTTCTCACTCATATTTGGTTTCTAGCCAAAAATAAAGGACATTGAACCTATAATTCGGGTTCTTAGAGAAG